TGCTTGTCCCGCCCCTCTCAAGCAGAGGGAATTCCAGGGTTCTTTCTGTTCTTTCTGTTTCTGTATACTTTTCCCCGTATCACCAGCAGACCTCAGGACCCACCTATTTTTCCCATTCACCTGTCTGCCTCTTTCACTAGGCTAAATAGCTTCTTTTTTGTTTGTTTGTTTAAGATTTTATTTATTTATTTGAGAGAGTGAGAGAGAGCACACGAGCAGAGGCAGACTCTGAGCAGGCTGAGCAGGGAGCCTGATGCGGGGCTTGATCCCAAGACCCTGAGATCCTGACCCAAGCCGAAGGCAGACGCTTAACTGACTGAGCCACCCAGGCGCCCCTAAATAGATTCTTTTTAAAGTCTTTTTTTCTTGGGGTGTCTGGGTGGCTCCATTGGTTAAGTGTCCAACTCCTGATTTTGGCTCAGGTTATAGGGTTGTGAGGTTGAGCCCTGCTTCGAGCCCTGCACTGGGTGTGGAATCTGCTTAAGATTCTCTCTCTGACCCTCCCCTCCCCACCTGCTGCCAACCTCCCCATGAGTGAGCTCTCTCTCTCTCTAAAAAAATAAAATAAATTTTTTTTTATTGGGGTAAAATATACATAACAAAATTTATCATTTTTAACCATTTTAAATGTACAGTTCAGTAGTGGTAAGTATATTCACATTGTTGTGCAACCATCACCACTATCCATCTCCAGAATTTTTTTCATCTTGTAGAATGGAAATTCTGTGCCCATTAAACAGTAATTCCCCACCCCCACTTCCTCTCAGCCCCTGGCAACCCTCATTCTCTGTCTCTATGAATTTGATTACTCTAGGAAACTCCTAGAAGTGGACTCATACAATATTTGTGTGTGTATGTGTGTGCATGTGCGTATGGCTTATTTCATTTAGCATGAGGTCCTCGAGGTTCATCCATGTTTAGCATGTTTCTGAATTGTATTCAGTTAGCTTCTTGAGGTCAGGAATATTCAATGAATGTTTAAATTTGTTTGAGTTGAAAAAATTAGGTGGATATGAATGTAAAGTAATGAGATCTGTAAACAACCTCAAAAGGGAGGACGTTAACACTGAGAGCCCCGTATCAACAGGAGGACACATAGATGTATAGGCATGTGCCTCTATGGTCACAGTGCCTGGTACCCCACGCTGACCTGCTGCTTCACTTCCACCTTCCAGAGCTCATGCAGATGTCTCTTCTGAACAATCTCAACCTGGAAATACACAGGCGAAGCAATTTCTGGGAGAAGTGCTTCCAGCTGAGCGGGGCCAACAGTATGAAAGCCCCTATAACGCCATTGGAGTTTAGTCCAGACAGGAGTTTCCCTGTTGACCAGATACGGATAAGAACTAAATATTCTCGGGCGCCTGGGTGGCTCAGTTGGTTAAGCGACTGCCTTCGGCTCAGGTCATGATCCTGGAGTCCCGGGATCGAGTCCCGCATCAGGCTCCCTGCTCGGTGGGGAGCCTGCTTCTCCCTCTGACCCTCCTCCCTCTCATGTGCTCTCTCTCTCTCATTCTCTCTGTCTCAAATAAATAAATAAAATCTTAAAAAAAAAAAAAAGAACTAAACATTCTCTTTGTGCTTTTACATATCTGATGGCCACAGATGGTCTCTGGCTTCATATATTTCAAACTTTCTCCTCTATCACCCACATGCTTCTGGGCCAGGGGCCTTACGAGCATATTCTTATTGAGACATGACCTCTGGCCTTGCATGTCTGCATAAACACATTCTACTAAATCTAAGCCAAATATATCCCAGCTCAACTTCCGCTACACTGGATCCTCAAAATGCTGCAGCCAAAGGGGCGCCTGGCTGGCTCAGTCAGTAGAGCATGTGACTCTTGACCTCAGGGTCATGAGGTCAAGCCCCATTTTGGGTGCAGAGATTACTTAAATAAATGAATAAAATTTTTTAAAACTGCCGCAGCTCCCCCAACACCACCCAACACAAAAGAAGCTTGAGGGAGGGTAAGTTGGAATACACGGGGAAAGCACCTAGACCAATGGTAGTGAAAATATCTCACTTTTCTACATTTTACAAAGAAAAATGACCCGTGAACACACCGGGGTGGGTGGGGACCTATAAGGGGCCTAGTCAAGTCAGGGCCCTGAGGCTTAACCTCCTTTGGCTTTGGGTAAATCTGCCGTTGGCTCTTTCTATGCTAAGCATTAGTTGAATTGATTTTTATTTTAATTTTTTGTTAAGAATATTTTCCAACATACACAGAGGTAAGAAACATGTAATCAACCCCACTCCCACCCTGTGTACCAGCCACCCAGCTTCAATAATTATCAGCGTTGGTTTATTATTCTAGTGCCCAGCATTGCCACTCCTGAGCTTATTCTGCTCCAGAGGTAATGTTTCTGGCTCCTATCCTTCTTTCTCAGATCTCTGCAAGGTTTTTACCCTACCAGATTGCCTAATTCAACAGGATAATGAGTCTCTGCTAAATTTCATATTTTTAAAATGTCCTTGGGGGCAAACATGTACTTTTATTTTAGTTTTGGAGGCTGTGAATAAAACCAGATTTGACTAGCCTCAAAGGAGGAACTCTGGATTCCTTTCTCTATTATATCTGGAAATATGGGAAGTTAATAAAGCTTTATTTTAAAATATACAAAAATTAGGAAACAATTCTTAAAACCTATGAGTTAGTAATCTCATGAAGAAGCTCAACAAAACCACAGATGTCCTGGTGAGAATGGGCATAGCTACAATTTCTTCAAGCAGAATCTGAAAGAAATTGAATCAGCAAATGAGTCACTGGAGGTCCTACTTTACCTAAAAAGGCATAAGGTCCAGGGCATTTTTAATAAAGATAACTACTCATATGGCAGTTCTTGGAGTTATAATGAGGCTTGTGGAACATTTTCATTTTATAGTTATTAAATACTGACTGGTTACAAGTCACTCACCCAGATGCTGGGGGCACAGAGCACTGACAAGATACACCAGGTCCCTGTTTTCAAAGAGCTCACAGTCTATTCCTAAAGATGGTGTTTTTTAAACCAGAGCACTCTCCCCCTTTCTAGGAATGGGATTGCCCACACAACCCTAGTCCTGCCCCCTTAAGCCCACCCCTTTGATCAGTGGGCAGCAGTTCCCTCCCACCTTGAGAACCACTGAGGAAAAGGCAGCAATAAGAAAGTGAGTTCACAAATCCCCAAATACTGTGCTGAGGGCTGTGATGGAGACCATCAGGCTGCTGTGGCAGTAAAATAGATTGGGAGGACACTCTGGGTCATCAGCGCAACCCTCTTGGAGCAGGTGGCAGGTAGTCTAAATATCCTGGAGGATGAGGTGTAGCTGGGGTTCTGGGGATGGGAGCAGCATGGGGGGAGGCCCTGAAGTGGGAGATGGCTTAGTGAACTTAAAAGAAGTGGAAAGAGGGGCGCCTGGGTGGCTCAGATGGTTGAGCGTCTGCCTTTGGTTCAGGTCGTGATCCCAGGGTCCTGGGATCGAGCCCCACGTTGGGCTCCTGGCTCAGCGCGGAGCCCGCTTCTCCCTGGGCCACTCCCCCTGCTTGTGCTCTCCCTCTCTCTGTATCTTTGTGTCTCAAATGAATAAATAAAATCTTAAAAAAAAAAGTGGAAGGAAGAATGTGGGGCTGAAATAAGGTGGAGAGATAGGCAGGGGCCAGATCCTCTAAAGCCTTCAGGTTTGTGGTGAAGAACTTCGGTTTTATTCTAAATGCTTCCCATTGGAAGCCACCAAAGAGTTTCAAGAAGGGAATTGACATGATGATAATAATGAGAATTAACGCTACTGGGCACTTGCTCTGGGCCAGCAAGGTTTTAAGCTCTTTATATAAATTAACTCAAGATATCCTTAGACCTATGAGGTGAGTACTGTTAATACTCCCATCTTATAGAGGAGGAAACTGAGGCACGGAGAGCTTAAGTAACTTAACCAAAGTCACAGCTAGTAAAGTCTGTTTTAATACCTTAGCAGTCCCCCGACTGTGAAGTGGCAGGAGTTGTATTTGCTGAAAAACTGACCGGAAGGAGTTAGAGTGAAGTGTTGTGTTTGCTGACCGAGTCTTCAGCAAGCATTTCTCTGGCCCAGAAAGTTGCCCACAGCTGTTCCGATCCTATTACAGGAATATACGTCCCATAATGGATTAACTGTTAAGGCGTGCAAACGGTGAGGCTCACAAATTTGTTAGGCAGTACTTTTTTTAAAGATTTTTATTTATTTGAGAGAGAGAGAATGAGAGAGAGAAAGCACATGAGAGGGGGGAGGGTCAGAGGGAGAAGCAGGCTCCCCGCCGAGCAGGGAGCCCGACGCGGGGCTCGATCCCGGGACTCCGGGATCATGGCCTGAGCCGAAGGCAGTTGCTTAACCAACTGAGCCACCCAGGCGCCCTTAAAACAGAATTTTAAAAAAACACTCATTTACAAATGACAAACCCGTAACATTTTAACACATGTAGTGAAAGAGGGGCGTGGTTTTAAATTTTTGAAAATCTCTTTGGTTTTTCTTTTTTAAAGAGTTTATTTTTTAGAGAGCGAGCGAGAGGGAAACAGCATGAGAGGGGAGAGGGTCAGAGGGAGAAGCAGGCTCCCCGCTGAGCCCGGAGCCCGATGTGGGACTCGATCCCACGACCCTAGGATCATGACCTGAGCCGAAGGCAGTGGCTTAACCAACTGAGCCACCCAGGCTGTTAGGCAGTACTTTTAACAACAAAAGCAACTAATCCCCAGAAAAATTGGCCTGTTCTGGTTGGGAAAACGCAAAGTATCTCAACGTCGCCTTAGAAAACCCAGAGGCACGGAGAAAACTGGATTCAGTCACCAGAAAAACCGCTCAAGAAGGGGCCAACCACTCGGAGCCCTTACTCTGCCTGCCATGACAGCGGAGAAGTTTCTGGCAGCAGGGACACCCCGGGCTCGGGGTGGGAGCCGGTGCGCCGGGCAGGGGGCGTGGCTTTCGGGGGACGAGGCGTGGCGCGGTGGGATTGCGGGGGGCGGGCCCACCTGGGGGCGGGGCCACGGGGGCGTGGCGAAATGAGGAAGGACAGGACTGAGGCGGGGCGCGCGCGTCAGGAAGATGGCGTTGCGTCTGCTGCGGAGAGCGCTCCGAGGGACGGCGGCGGCGGTGCTGCCGAGGCTGTGAGTGCAGGTCCCTAAGTCCCCCGCCACCCGGCCCGGCCTCCCCAGTCCCTGCCGGGAGCCACCCCCACGCCGGCCGGGAGCACCGCGCGCCTCCCGGGCGCCGGCTCGACCTCTGCCAAGGTCGCCGACGCCCCGCGACGGTCGCCTCTCCTGCGCGTGCCTCCCGGTGGGAGGGTCCTTGCTTGGGCCCGGGAAATGGGTACAAACATTCGGATTCGCAGCCCCAGAGCACACAGCGAGTCTCTCCCACAGGTGGAAGCCGCGAACGTACGGCTGTTTTATAAAAGGGTCCTGGAGTCAGCCTGTGAGCGGCGGCTCGCCGGCTGAGTGAGAACACCCTCCCCCCGTTGGTTCTGCACAGCGGCTCCCGGACTGGTCTCCGGACCCCTTTACCCGCCGAGAAATTATTGAGGACCCCTTAGAGTTTTTCTTGTATCTTTTAATCTTTACGGTGTGAGGAATTAAAACAGGATTTTTAAAAAAGATTTTATTTATTTATTTGCGAGAGAATGAGATAGAACATGGGAGGGAGGAGGGTCAGAGGGAGAAGCAGACTCCCCGCCGAGCAGGGAGCCCGACGCGGGGCTCGATCCCGGGACTCCGGGATCATGGCCTGAGCCGAAGGCAGTTGCTTAACCAACTGAGCCACCCAGGCGCCCTTAAAACAGAATTTTAAAAAAACACTCATTTACAAATGACAAACCCGTAACATTTTAACACATGTAGTGAAAGAGGGGCGTGGTTTTAAATTTTTGAAAATCTCTTTGGTTTTTCTTTTTTAAAGAGTTTATTTTTTAGAGAGCGAGCGAGAGGGAAACAGCATGAGAGGGGAGAGGGTCAGAGGGAGAAGCAGGCTCTGCACCGAGCAGGGAACCCGATGCGGGACTCGATCCCAGGACCCTAGGATCATGACCTGAGCCGAAGGCAGACGCTTAACCATCTGAGCCACCCAGGCGCCCTCTTTGGTTTAATAAAGGACAGTTGGAGTCTCATCAGCTGTTTTGCAGGAAGTTTACAGAGCGATTCTGGGCTCCGGCAGACGCTAGTTGGAAAGGGGAAGACCTCTCAGACCATCTCGAAAGGTCTCAGGAACTCGCAGATGCCCTCGGACCACACTTTGAGAACCGCTGGTCTAGCAGTTGCCTGTTGGCCAACCACATGCACACACGTTATCTCATTTGATTCCCTGACCACCGTGTGAAGAAGTCGGAAGACTTCTTTATAAAGATGAGGAAACAGGCTCAGGGAGGCTAAGTGACGCAAAGCAGAGAATGGCAGAGTTTGGTTCCGAAACCAAGTCTATGGCTACTGGTCCAGAACTCCTTACATTTGCTTGCACCGTGCTTCCTGCTTCCCCAGTGTGTCCTGCACTGGGCCTACCCAGTCTTGTACATCCTACCTTCCCCTTTTCTAGACTTGAGCCTGGTACATGGCCCTGGGCTCAGGGGATCACCCCTGGAACCAGAGGTGCTGCTGAGGCAGTATACGCAGACCCTTCCAGAAGGTCCCTTTTCTTGCAGGCCAGCGTCTGGGGCCTGTTTAATAATGGGTCCAGGGACCACATACAGTCACCTACTTCTAAGGCGCTTGGGACTTACCTCACAGTGCTCTTTGCCATCCTTATTAGCACACTGGTTATTTCTGCACACACTTAACAGGTCCTACTAAGGCCATGGCAGCGGAGATCAGAGCAGTAAAGGTGCCAAGTATCAACCTGCCAAATGGCAACTGCTTACAGATGCCTTCATTTCTACCCCAGTTGGGTTGCACTTAAGCTTCAGGCCTGTGGGCCTGCTTCTGGTGGCTTTATCCTTCTGTTTTTAGAGTATTAGCACCATTGCTGGTAGGCAGGGACCATTCCTGACTTGTCTACCGAGTCTCCAATATTTCCCCTGTTGTAGTGCTCTCCCTGATGCTTCCCCTTCCATCCTGTCTCTGGCCCTTCCACTTTCTGTAGCCACTGCTCAATTTATGTAAATAGCTGGCTCTCAAGTTGGGGGAGCATGACTCCCCACTCCTAGGAGTGCTACTGGTAGGAGTGTCTTTTAAGCCCTCTCCACTGACAGAGCAAAGAAGAATATGTGTGAATAGTGACCCATGCATATATTATAAATACATATATTATTTAGGTAAGCTCTGGGCCCAACGTGGGGCTTGAACTCATGGCCCTGAGATCAAGAGTCACATGCTCTATAGACTGAGCCAGTCAGGTGCCCCTAAATATTTCTTTATATAACCACTGTGTCTATATTAGGCTAAACATGAGTTCACATTACCTCCAATTCTAGTCCATTACCACATGGATCATTCTAGCCTCCTCCCCTTTGCTTACTAACAAATTTTTACTATTACAGTTAGAAACCTGGCCTTCCCCCGCACCACCACCAAAAAAGAAAAGAAACCTGACTCCCACCATGCACCATCCAATTTCAACATACACATATAGCAGTATTTGAATTGTTAGACCTACTCCATGGGAAAAAACTATCGAAGTACAGTACTTATGTGCAGTTCCTTTTCCTTTAATAGGCTCTACTCATTTCCTTAGTTACTTAGGTCGGTGCTTTTTCCTCCCATCCCCTTCAGTGAGGTTGTTTCATACATCTGTGATACAAGTAGATTCCCTTGTCACAGTCTGCATTCTTTCCTGGGATTCCCCTACTTCCCAGGTGAATTTTTTAAATTGCATATATTAAGGTTCACTCTTTTTGCTATAAAATTCTATGGATTTTGACAAATGCATAATATCATGTATCTACCATAACAGTATTATACAGAATTATTTTATTTCCCTAAAAATCCCCTGTGCTTCATCTCTTCATCCATCCTGCGTTCTCCCAAACTCCTGGCAAGCACTGATCATGTTTCTGTCTCTAAAGTTTTGCCTTTTCCAGGATGCCGTATAATTGGAGTCATATATAGTCCTTTAGACAGTCTTCCTTCACTTAGCAATGTGCATTAAGGTTCCTCTGTGTTTTTTTCATGGCTTCTTAACTCATTTTCTTTTGTTGCTGAATATTCCATTTTAGAGATGTTTCATAGTTAATCTGTTTATCTGTTCACCTACTGAAGGACATTTTAGTTGCTTCTATTAAGGTTTAATAAAGCTGCTCTAAACATTCTTGTGCAGGTTTTCTGTGTGCATAAGTTTTCAGGTTAATTGGGTAAATACCTAGGAGTATAATTGTGTGGTAAAAGTATAAATTGGGTTTTGTAAAAAAACTACCGAACTATGTTCCAAAGTGCTATGCCATTTTGCATTCCCATCATCAATGAAAATTCCTGTTGCTGTCACATCCTTGCCAGCATTTAGTATTATCAGTAAAAAAAATTTGTTTAGTCATTCTAATAGGTGTGTAGTGGGATCTGTTGTTGTTTTAATGTTAATTTGTTTTAACTTGAAATTCCCTGGTGTCAACTGATGTTGAGTATCTTTGGTGAGCTATTTAGATCTTCTGCCTATTTCTTGGATTGTTTTTTTTTTTTTTAAAGATTTTATTTATTTATTTGAGAGAGAATGAGAGAGAGCACATGAGAGGGGGGAGGGTCAGAGGGAGAAGCAGACTGCCTGCCGAGCAGGGAGCCCGATGCGGGACTCGATCCCGGGACTCCAGGATCATGACCTGAGCCGAAGGCAGTCGCTTAACCAACTGAGCCACCCAGGCGCCCTGTTTTCTTTTTTTTTAAAGATTTTATTTATTTATTTGACAGAGACACAGCGAGAGAGGGAACACAAGCAAGGGGGGTGGGAGAGGGAGAAGCAGGCTTCCCGCTGAGCCGGGAGCCCAATGCAGGGCTCAATCCCAGGACCCTGGGATCATGACACGAGCCAAAGGCAGACGCTTAACGACTGAGCCAGGCGCCCCTTGGATTGTTTTCTTATTGTTGAGTTTTAAGTATTTTTTGCATATTTTAGATATAAGTCTTTTATAAGATACATGTTTCGCAAATATTTTCTCCCAGTCTGTGACTAGTCTTCATTCTCTTAACAGTATCTTTTACAGAGCAGAAGTTTTTTATGTTAATGAAGTCACGCTTATTGATTTTTTTCTTTCATAGACCATGCTTTTACCATTTTTTGTTTGTTTTTTAAGATTTTACTTTGAGAGAGGATAGGGGGAGAGGGAGAGGATCCTCAAGCAGGCTCCCCGCTGAGCACAGAGCCTGAAGCCAGGCTGGATCTCAGGACCCTGAGATCAGTACCTGAGCTGAAACCAAGAGTCGGACGCTTAACCGGCTGAGCCACCCTGGCGCTCCTGCTTTTGCTGATATATTTAAGAATTCATTGCCAAATCTGAAGTCACATAGATTTTCTCCTGTATTTCCTTCTAAAAGTTCTACAGTGTTATGTTTTCTACTTAGGTCTATGATCCATTGTAAGTTGTTTTTGTTTTTTGTCATGAATGGATATTGGATTTTGTCAAGTTCTTTTTCTGCATCAATTGAAATGATCATATGATTTTCCTTGTTTAGCCTGTTGATGTGGCCGATTACATTCACTGATTTTTGAATGTCAAACGAGCCTCGTATACCTGGAATAAATCCTACTTGGTCGTGGTATATAATTCTTTTTATACATTGTTGGATTTGATTTGCTCAAATTTTCTTGAGGGTTTTCCATCTATGTTCATGAGAGATATTGGTCTGTAGTTTTCCTTTTATGTGGTGTGTTTACTGAGTATTGGTTTCTGTATGTCTCATGTCTTTTTTGTTCCTCTATTCCTTCCTTACTGCTTTCTTATGCATTAAGTGAATAAATTTCTTTAATGATTTCTAACTATTTTTTTACTTTTTTAATTGTATTTTTAAAGGGCTTTTTTAGTGGTTACCCTAGGGCTTATCATATACATTTTTTAAGTAGAATTGTGGTAAAATAAAATATATGTAACATAAACTTTGTTACTTTAACCATTCTAAGTGTACAATTTAGTGGCATTATCACATTCCCACTGTCGTGCAACCATTGCCACTATCTGTTTCCAAATTTTGTTCATCAC